TTTTTCTTTGTTGTTTGTGCCTGTGTCTGTCTCTGCAGTTGTTTGGAGCCTTGCTGAGAGGCTGCTGCGCGGACCTTTCCTACCTGAACCTGGCTAAGAATTGCTTCTCCAATAGGTGGGTGTACGCCCCGAGAACTCAAATCAGTCCAATCCTCTATTTCCCCTACCAAGAAAAGCATTTTAGTTTTCTTCTGACTCAGCACAAAAGGCTTTGTGCTGCCAGCGCTTGTGTGTCGGCATTCAGATTGCGTTTGAGTGCTACTTGAATGCACGCTCATACTGAATTTGTGTTTTCCTTTTTATTTTTAAATCTGTCTGCTTGGTCATGTGAAGTTGTGGATTTCGATACCTTTTTATGCTCAAACCATTTTTCTCTCTGTCGAACCTCCTTGTTTGTCTGTGTTGTGATATTTATTGGGAATGCGGTTGGACATAACATTTGTGATGAGAAAGAGACAAAGGAAACCACAAAGCCAAAACAAATGAAAAAAAAAACACTGAACAATAGAAGAATAACTATGTATAATTATGAAAGGAATGCGGTGCCACACACCGTGTGAAGAAGGAACTCAGCTAGTTGGACAGGACAAGGAGATGTGCTAGCGACATGTGCTAGGATTGGTGCTCTCGTGCCTAAATATTTTTAGGCACTCTAGATTGTACATGATAGGACAATCAAGCGAGTTTACATCAGTCTGTGTCACTGCAAGTGGCCTGGCTCCTTTTATCTGACAGAAAAAAAGGTTTGAACATAGCTAGTCAATTAGGTGGTCGCTGGTTGTGCCAAAACGTGGGCTAATGGTCAATGCTATCTTGGATGAGAGTTCAACAGCTATATACAAATAAATACAGTCACCGTATCGGCCAACTTTCTCACTTGCCGTTCTCCAAGCCTGCTTCTTTTTGGCTTGGTCCTGGCATTGGAAGCTAGCTGTGTTGTGTAGCTTTCGGTGAGCACAGACCGGAATGATTATTTTTCCCTTTGTTTATTTCACCACGCAGTGGGTCTTTGTGTGTCCGCGTGCGCGTGCGCGTGTCCGCACTGTGTGCATGATGTATTAAACACATTCTTGGCCTCAGGAAATGTGGCTTCCAGTTCAAATATTAGCTACGTGAGTGCATTTTCTTGCCTCCTGCGTCACCTCAGCTGCGTCAATTGTGCCACCCGGCATGGATTTACACCTGTCCACGCAAACTGCCTTGTAATTTGAGATCGGCTCAACTCACGTTCGACCTGAACGTCGAAATGATGAGTAGGCATCTCCCATCCAAAAAGGACCTGGGCGCCCATTCCTTGGGCTACCCGTTAACCCAACCATCCATGCCCAGCAACCCAAGGCACGGATGCAGTCCGCCACAGCTATCAAGAAAGGCGCGGGGACATTAAATGATCAAACACTTCCAGTCTGTACCCGCGCGCCTATTTTTCATTTTTCACGCCTCGTCATGGTTCTCTGCCATTCACTTACAACAAAGCTGCCCAACCCAAATGACTCCATCAGTTAAAACAACATCTGCTCGTTTAATGGCGCTTTATGATGGTCCATTTTATGATGAAGGCCTGTTTGGAGGTTCCGGTACGACGTTTTAAGCTAAAGAAGCACTTCATGAGATGTTTATATTGCCTCACTGTGCATTAAATGCACAGATGGGTGCTTTTAGTTTTACCGCATGCATGGTTATTTTCTTGAATTGACAGACATTGCATATTTTATCGCACTTAAAGCGCTCTTGGGTTTTGCTGCCGTATTCTGTCTTACCTACCATGACTATATTCAACGCTCAAGAGTGTCGCAATCACGTATGGTTCTGTGACAACCCCTCACCGATATAACATCCTTAATTCACATGCTGGCTCATTGTGGCCGGTCAGACCGTTGCAAAATTCTGGCACAAGAAAGAGCCCGCAGTGCTTGAAGTGAGCTGATAAGCGGCTGGCTCATGACTGGGGAATACCACCTCGTACCCTCTCTCACCCATCGTACAAGCCGTGACACTTACGAGAAGCTGACACAGCTTGCTGGCAGGTTTCTCCAAAGAAAAGCGTTGAGGCTGGATCCGCTTTTGTGGGATCTGCAGAGGTTTCAGAGGCTCAGTCCCAATTAACACAAATGGGTCAAAGATGGGCTGTTGTCTCACAGTTCACGCTTATGTCAGCAGTAATGAGGGGACATTAATGTCGCAGACTGACCTTGGCTCGCTAAGCTGTTTACACTGTCTCTAATTACCACCTCTTGATTGCATTTTATATATATATATTATATATTTTTTTTAACGTCTCAAATGATGAGTTACTGGTAAGAATCCTCAAAACATCTCATTCCAAGCCAGAGTCGTGCTACCTGGTTTTCTCCCACCCCCGCTGATTTGGGCATACAGTTCAATAACCTTTGCGGCAGCTGAAAAGGATACGGAGACATTTTTTTACTGTTATGCTGCAAGAAAAAAAAAAAAAAATCCTTCAGTCCGAATGATGCGCACGTGATAAGAGGCGATTTTTGTCATGTGTCCAAAACCGAATGTGGTATGATTGACTTCTCAGCATGACTCATAATGAATAAGACACAGACGCAAAGTTTGACAAAGTATACAGTATGTTGTGGGTCAAAGAGATGCTTGAATAATTGGTCTGAGAGATCATTAAACTTGTGGCAATAGCCGACCTTAACATCCCAGGAAGCACTTTCAGTCTTCACTCACACTTTTCTCCGTCCCGTTGTTTCACTGTCAAATGCTGCGTGTCAAACTTTCAGCCGACTACCTACTCTTGTCTTTGTCTCCATCAATTCCTGACTGGAATATGTCCTTAATCCCGTCTTTGCAGACATCCTCTCGCTTTCTACGCTGACTGCCTATAGCGGTAAAACATCCCAGTTGTTGTATCTGCTTCATTTCCAGGAAAGCGAGAGATTCTCTGCCAACTTTCCGGCAATTCTTCAGCTCAGCCTTCAGCCTGACTCATGTGAGCCTGGCCTCCATGAAGGTTCCTCCCGACTGGCTGAGGTGAGGTGAAGGCAATCCTGCCTTTCAAAAAAGATGTGTTGAAAATGCGCAAATCCACTGCAGGAGTGGTAGATTCATTTTAAGGTAGGTGATCAGATTCACAAGGATCGAAAAGATTTGATGCGGCATGATTTTAAACAAAGCAAGACTGTCCCTTCTCAATTTTTCCAAAGTTCCAGTTACCGTGCATTTTTGAAAATTTAGCTGCCCAACACAATGTATAACGACAGCCCCAGTTACGTTTTACCCCATCTGCATGATGCAGTACGGTGCTTTGTTTGAGATTCCCGCACTCAAAAATCATCTTTACCATTCAATTTACTGGCTTATTGTTTATAGCTTGATCTGTAAAATAGCGGAACCCCCCCCACCAGGCATATACACCTTGGGTCATCCTGGTGGCGCATATTAGCATTCAAAAGATATGGCACTTGAGTTAACGCACTGGCGTTTAAATTAAGGACACCCACGGAAGCGCCCCCGTTCGTTGGCATGCCAGCGTCACAAAATGGCTCGCGAGATAAGCTCTGTGAAAGATGACTTTCCCTGCGGACGCAGGCTTGCTCTGTTTCCATGTTCAGCTTGCTGTTATCGCACAAAGTCAAGTCGGAAACGCGCACGGCATCAAGAGCCGAGTAAACATACCAAAGTGCCGACACCTGAGATGATTCCGCGTGTGATGGATTGCAGCCAAAATGGGAAGCGCGAGCTCCCCGCTTCAAAGTTGTCGTCAGCGGCCCAACGCACACCGTGGCTTAGTCACTAAAACGACACCCTCCCCCGTGCCCGTGATGGTTTTGCATTCGGCTATGAATCAGCATGTTTTTGTGGGTGCCATGAATAAACGTCGCCCCTTCAAAAAAAGTTAGCGGCTGGATTTAACAAAGTGAGTAGATGACAGCATTGAGTTCAATAAAAAATGGAATCATGTCTTTTGGGTGGCAACAAAGTATTGAGTCAGAGCTAATGTACAAATCCATCTCAGGATGTGAATGGACTGTCAATTTTGGGGAATTCCAAAGCAATTTTGATCCAATTACGAATTGTACAAGCGAAAGGCATTAAATAAATCAATATATAGGGCTCAATGCCAAGGAATCTAAAACAAGTTGCCATAAGTATTGCGCAAGATAATGTTTACGAAAAAAAAGGAGAAAATTATTGCGGCTAGAGGTTTAAAATTACGGAAGCGTTGAAATGCCAACGTGGAGTAAAACATTTTGAGTGTATACTACACAAAGTCATTCCACCGAGCTGCTAATTCAAATGCACTGCAAAGTTGTTTGAATGTATTGATAACATTGTCAATTTTTTTCGCACCGCTGTGTCTCTCTCATCACGCAATGTCCGTTTTCCTCCAGAGCGCTCTTCCTCGGCCTGTCAAATAACCCCCATATCACCGATTTGCAGTTAGACATCAGCGCCTGTGAGGTACGAGCTGCGTCAGCCGATGCCGCAAAGGCTCCCTTCATTCACGTTCTCGTCGCTCGATGCCCGCGTCTATCCTTATCCCGTTCCACCTCTTTCTGTCTTTCCCTGACAGCTAAGGTCTGCGGGTGCCGCCGTTCTTCAGGAGCTCTTTCCAAGAGTTTCGTGCGTTGGGACTTTAGACATCTCCGATAATGGTAAGACGCACTCCGAAGCGCTAACTGCATGTCTTCCTTCTCTAGGGCATCTGGTCTCCCTTTTTTCACTCTGGTGTATACATTTTCCAATGGGAGAATTTGTTTCAAGCTCAATGAAACTTGTTTTTTTTTTTTTTTTTTTTTTTTTTTTCCCCAAGCCATTGCTTTAATAAATTTTGAAACTACTGTGAACTGAATAGATGAATGAATTCTATCTTGATAAATCACGTTTACATCCTATCTGCACATGTCACGCAACTTCTGCTGAACAAAGTGGAGCAAGCAAAGAGGTGACCAGAAATCTTTAGTCGGAATCATTTCAATTGGAATGGGCGGGGGGTAGTCTCGGTGTAAAGGCGTTGATCTTGTTCTTATAAGTTTGTATTTGGCTTCTTCCTCGTTAGCCGGGCTAAGCTCCTCAAGGCGCAGCCATGAACCTTCTGTGTTATGTCGCATGCTCAAATACTGGGGGCGCGTCTGTATTAGTTGGGTAAGAAGCGGGAGGTTCTCTTTCCAGGCTTGGATTCTGACTTGCAGGCCATCATCCCGGCATTCTCAAGACACCCCTCCCTCAAACACCTGATGCTGGGGAAGAACTTCAACATCAAGGGCAGGTATGCGCCTCGTCACAGAGGAGCCGTGCAGATGGTGAAGATGGAAGGGATGATTAAAGCGTTCCTTTTTTTTTTTTTCTTTTTCTACCACCTCCTCAGGGTGCTGGATGAAATACTGCAGAAACTGGTTCATTTGGTGCAAGAGGAAGAGTGTGTGAGTTGGATTATGTAACGCTGCACGCACGCGCGCACACAAATCTGCAGTGGCGTCGCTTTCAAAATGCATATCCGCACTCAATTCAGAAACTCCGATTTTCAAACTCACACCTTCAAATGGCCCCAAATACAAACTCGTCACGGTTTGTCCGGTTGCGTCCACATCGGTATGACGTGAAACGTCATCTCCCTGCTACGTGTGTACGAGAGATGCAACCTTGCGTGGCAGCTGCATTGTCTGTGGGCCCAACAAATAATTCATCTGGTCTCATTTTATTTGAACAACGCCCACGCCGCCGCACACGACCCCCCACTGATTCCCGGCTGCTTTCTCTCGCTGTTCATATCCTGAGTGACGAGTATATTGTTTCAATATTTACTACGAGGATGTTGAGAACACACAAACATGCCTCCAAGGGCATGTGTCTTTGACTGAGAAATATGCTGTAATCTAAACCGAACTAACTATTCAGGCGTTGTCCCACTTCTTTGTGCATTACAGCAAAGCTCTTCGTTATTTTTGGGACCGTTTCGCCGCAGCAAACTTTGTGTGCACGTACAGCATCCATTCTATTCCTTATTTTTTTTTTTTTGTAACTTGCTTTCGCCACGATCCTCCAGGTCCTGCAGACTCTCTCTTTGGCCGACTCGAGACTACGCCAGCGGGGCACCATGTTGGTCAACGCTCTGGGCTCCAACACGTGCCTGCGGAAGGTGGACTTGAGCGGCAACGGCCTGGAGGATTCGGGAGCAAAGATGCTGAGCAAAGCCCTGCAAATTAATACGACACTCAGGTGGGAGCCCAAATATGTACTGGAAGGGAGAAAATAGAGGGATTTCCTTGCAAAGTCGGGTAGGGCAGGGCAGGAGCGTGATGCGAGTTTTAGAGGGCAGGCAAAAGAACGAGGTCAAATAGAACGTGATTATGTTTGAAGAGATGAATTGAAGGCCCTCGGTGGCACAGCAGCGAGACAAAGAGTGAACAACGCCCGAGATAAGAAGTTGCGATTCGCCACTCGGGCAAATCTCAGAGAGAGAGAACGAGAGAGCTTTGATGAATACTTGGGAGCCTCGTGCCCTTGATTTTATTCTTTTGCTAGCCTGACCTATTCAGCTGCATAATCATATATAATGGTGGCTCGGTATGCTTTAATTATGCCGGAAAAGCGGTTCTTTATTCATTTACTTATTTTTATTCTATCCTACGGTGGCTACTCCTCCTGTGGTTGTTTGTTTTGTCATTTGTGTTGGAATAAAGCCAGACAAAATGAGGGGACCGACGGAGATAAAAGAGAGAAGAGAAATGATGAATAAAACAAGAGGACAAGAGCAGAGCAACAATGCGTATTAGTACCGCGACGTTCCACGGGAGGCTTATTGTTTGAAGTCAAGGCGAACCCTTTTGAGGAAGGGATGCAGTGACACGATGGGAGGGGACGTGCCGTGCCGTGCCGTCTCTGTGCGCCGGCAGTGCTGAAACACCTGAAATGACATTGGAGAGCCAGGGAGAGGACAGTCCGAGGGCTTGACGTGACAGTGCAGGCAGGCACTTGTCAATGTGGGAGCAAACAAGCCACCAAAATATGCAGACAAATATTTGCCGTTTGTGGGCCGGTCACATTGGGGTCGTAACTCGGCCATAAACCAACGACAATATCGGTGTTGCATTTGGAACAAATGGACTCTGAAATGAGACGAGTGATGGACAGGCAGCTTTCGCGGCATCCAAATAGAGAGACTGAATATGCAGCCGGATTGTTTTTTTTTTTTTTTTCCCCTGATTAATTTTCAAGGGCATCGACGGAGGAGTTGGAAATGACAGCTTTATTAAAAATCAGGTGGAGAAAGTGCAAGTGTAGGTGGAAGATCAACTAACAGAAGCTCATTAGAGGCATGGCAGTTGTTTATGCTGGGCGAGGAGTTCATTAAAATTGAAGAAATATTTCGATGTGGATCTCTGGAATGGACTGATGCGGCAAACACAAGCTGACAAATACCGTGACGCGATACGATGCGGCCCCGTAATTTTTCTCTTCCTCTCTCTGTGGCCGTCTTTGTGTTTTCCTTAATGGTTTGATCCCTCGCAGAAGCGTCGCATGGGATCGCAACAACACCACGGCGACGGGCTTCCAAGATGTGGCCAGAGCATTGGAGCAGTAAGACGAACACAACACACACATGCACACACTCACACCGAGCATGTTTTGCGTCCAAGGTGCACCCATAAAGCACCTGAGTCACGCATCTGAAAGGCGGCTCGTCATCATCATGCCTCTTTGTTTACTCTTACGCAAGATTTCATCAGTCCAAGGATGCAACAGAAATTTTACGTCTGAAGTCGGTTTTGCTTGTTCAAAGACATGTGTGGGAGCGTTTGATTACATCACCAAGCTGGTATTTTTACACCCCAAAAAAAGCAAGCCACGGGATGATTGCCATTGTAATACTTATTTGCCAAATGCCACCCACAGCGCGCGGCACCGCACTTCCCACAGGGTACGTTATCACTCTCTCTCTCCTGTGCTCGCTTGCCTGTGTGCTGTCGCATTTTCTTTCCAAATTGAAAGCTCAGCTGTTGACTACACCATAGAAACGCACAGTCTTTGTGTTTCCCTTTTGGACAAATCAAGCTCAAATTGGAGTAAAATTCATTTTCTTTCCATGCATCCATCTATCCATCGCAAATGAACTGGAGCCTATTCCAGCTGAATTCACCATTAACGTCATAATAAACCGTAGCGACCCCGTGAATAATATGCCAACTTATATGATACATCCCTAAATATCACCCTGACTTGTACATAACGTTTATTATCTGCGAAGTGCTGCACAATAAATCAAAACTGCTCCGTTTGCCTCTCGCGCGAGCCGCAAACGGCTTCGCTGCCACATGCTTGTGCCCAAAAAAGTAGCGTGCAAAGTACGTCACATTTGATATGACATTTGTGGTGAATTCAGCTGGAATAGGCGCCAGTTCATTTGCAATGGGTAGATGGATGGATGGATAGAAAATGAATGAATGGCTAGCAAATACTGTCCACTAAGTGCAAACATTTGTTTGTCGAAAATCAAGTTTGCCCTACGTAACGAGTGTCTTTTTTTTTCTAACCCGGTAACTGAATTATTCCAGTGGCGAAATGTGTTTATCTCATCCCTCTCTACTTTCTAGCAACTTTACACTGCAGTATATGCCCCTCCCCCTCAGTGACGCCACACAGGCATACCGCAGTGCCCCAGAGAAGACCGACCAAGCCCTGATCAAGGTAAGAAAGAAAAAAAAAAAACATTGCAGGTCCAGCCAGGCAGGGTCTTGCTCATTGTTTGTTTTTAGTGGTGCATTGATTGGTCGCTTGTTCAGCGAGAAATAGCGTGCAGCTGAAGTTGAAACTCAAGCAAAAAGATTTCAGAACAGGAAGAAAATGCATCATGAAATAACTTTGAAATCCACACACACACACACACACAAATGTCAAGTGGTATTCTTCACACACGTTTCAGATTATTGAACTGTTGTCCTTCATGTATATTTCAACGAGGTACTGGTCAAAAGTCTGTTTCTAACATTTTTGTTGGTGTTATGAAAGAAAATGATTTGAAGACAGTATTTTGGCCTCTATCAAAGAAACTCCTCTTCTGTTGCACCATAATAACGCATGTTTTGAAGTGTAAGACAGAGTTACCGTAAATGCATGCTTAGTTTTCCACATCTTTGAACCAAAACAAAAGAATGATTTATTATTATTATTATTTTTTTAATGAACATATTTCTGTCATGGTTACCAAATTTATGTTTAGAGCTCAACATTAATGATGCTAAGGCCCAACAGGCTAATTCAACAACATTCCTGATTACATGGCTGTAATGTTGCTGCTGTCTCATTTCAAATGAAACGGCATAAAGCAGTCAAAACATTATTTTCCATGTCTTAATCATTCTGATCGGCTGAACTAGTTTCCACTTGTCAACACAACGGGATTTGCTTCCAAATAATCTCATTTAACGCTGCTAAAGCAAGCCGTGATGTTGATGAATACGTTTGCTGTTCTTATTTTGGGGTTGTCACTGCCACACGATCTCATCCACCGCACATTTAAATGCAATCCAAAGTTTTCAAGACAAGTCATGTTCTTCATGCAACAAAACATGCAACAAATGTTGTCCTTATTTAGCTCTACTTTAGAGTTAGCATTTGTCTGATGTTCCCAAGTCATTCCATCTGCAATTACATAATTCCATTAGACAGGCAAAGATATCCACCAAAGAAAAGGCATCCGGCTCATTTGCAAGGATCAAAGTTCTCCTCAGTCGTCCTTATTACCATGCAAATTGCCTTTTTTTCCAGTCACAAGCTATATTCTGTAAACAGCTGCTATCCTCTCTATGCATGCGTGCGTGCGTGTGACAGATCCAGCGAGCCCTGCTGAGAAACAACCAAACGCAACGTTTCTCTCAAAAGCAAGCTCTTAGGCTGCATCAAGGCCTCGTCACCAGTACGGCCGAACAGGTCTGTTTCCGTCTCCGGATTTGCGTACAGGCTCAAATCACGACTCATACGTTAATGTGTGTGCATGTGGCATGTTTTGTGTGTAGGTGATGGAACGTTTGTGCGTGCGGGTGCAACAACAGGTCGGCGTCCTGAAAGGCTGCGAGGAAGCTGAGGAGGTCCAAACAGCCAGGCAGATTCTTAAGGAAGCCAGAAACTCCAAAGCTGTAAGTATGGGGAGGGGGCGACATCATTCAATTTGAAGCCCTACTCCCTTGGTCCACGCCTATTAAATGTGTTTGATAGCCCCAGGATGCACTTATTCTAGGCATACCGTATCATGCTGGGCCCGTTTGACACCTAAATCCCAGATCGTTTAACTAGATTGAGCGCTCCAATGCCTGCTTGAAGTGTGATAAACTTCCTTGGCCCCAGCAGCGTTGTAATAGGTGGTCCTCGTTACGGCCAACCAGTATGTGTGTTCTGATCAGTGCTGTTGTTCCTCCCACAGGTTATTACTAACATCCACCTAGGAAAACAAAAAATAAACAACAAAGTCATGAAAGCACTTTGCAGGACTAACTCCTGTGATCCATGCACCCCCATTAGTCTAAACACAGTATTCTGATGTTTGTGGAAAATGAATGAAGCAGACAAACCCAACCATTTTTATCCATCTCAGGGAGCGGCCATTTTGACTTTTACTGCCACTTGCTGTCGACTGAAAATGACATCACATTGCCGAAGGCCTTTGCGTACGTACTCAAGTCACATGACTGAACTCAGCAAACGGGGGAGGGGTTACCTGAGCCCTTCGGCACTGTGGTGTCATTTTCAGTCGACAGCAAGTGGCAGTAAAAGTCAAAATGGCCGCTCCCGGAGATGGATATAAACGAGTAGATTGAATATACATTCCACATTCGGCAATATTAATCAGAACGTCGTGTTGAGACGACTGGAAGTGCATAGAACACAATCTTATAAAAATATGACCTCAGTATAGCTGACTGAGCTGTATTGGATTTCAAGTTGTGCACCTGCATGCTCTCACAGAATGTTTGTTTTTCGGCTTTATTGATTCTCACCTCCTCTCTGTGGCTTGTGCGTGTTAGCTCTTCCCTTCCCTATGTGAGCTGGCTCATGTGTTGTCAGTGGATGGTCCAGTCAGACAACGACTGGATACTCTAGCCGGGGAGCTAGCGAGGGCTGCCGACAAAGAGCTGCAGGTAGGCTGGGTGGGACTCTTTCGCCAGAAGAAATTTATAGCATCGCTAGTTGCATCTAAAAAGACCCGCTAATCATGTGGTTTAATTTTCCTCACAAATGTTTTCACTTTTATCGTGTTCCCAATGGAATGGACTGCATAATTGGGATGTTGTACACTCTGAGGAGCATTCGTTGCGATTGTGTCTTTAAATGAGTGAGGACGGTGATGTCAATGAAATCCGTGAAGCGGTCACCCCGGAACCGAAGTATGCCCGATTTGTTCCCAGGTGGTCGTGGACTCCATGGTGTCTCTGTGCCGCGAGTTGTGCCCCATGTCCTGCTCAGCTGCCGAGAGACTCAGCCCGCCTCTCTCGTCCATCTCTGAGCAAGTTTCGATCCCTCGCTCTTCCATACGCAACGCCCTCATGGAGAGAGCGTCCGAGGATATTAACAGAGCCCTAGAGTGAGGAAAAGCCCTAGTAGTGACAAAAAGAATCTACTCTACTGGCACCGTTTTCAACCCTTCTCTTTGGCTCAGGGAGGTGAAGTTGTCCGTCGTGTCCTACTTAACCAACTCCATCGTGGATCAGATTCTGCAAGAACTCTACACGACCCATAAAACGCTGGTACTGGTAATATCCCTTTTCTGCATGACTTCTTTGTGGATCTCTAGCTAGTCATGTTGGCTCACCGCATGTTGCTGTTATTCGACTGCATCAGTATGACCACGTCAGTTTGTGAAAACAACTCATAGAAGCGGTCGGTTCCGCTTCGAGATATTCAAGTTGCCAGATGCCCGCTACTCTCCATCACTGTCATATTTTTAAGAATGAAAAATTCATGATGTGAATTTCCCTGCTGAATTTACTTCATTGTGGGGGTGAAAAAAACCATGGCATTGAAATCCAAAAGACTAAACATATTTATTGATATGTTTGCATGACACAACAAACACATTGCAAAATGCTGCACTTTGTAACAATGCTGTAAACTTGCAGGATTATTTAGGGCTTTTGCGCACAGAGAAAGAAAAAGACGTCCAATCAATCTTCACAGAATTGCACCAAAGAATGTATAAGAGGCAATGTGAGTGTAAAAATTATTCTGGAGTCTAAGCAATAACATACTTTTATTGATTGCCCTCCAGAGCAGCAGCTGAAAAAGTCGTTTTTCAAAGAAATGGATGGGCTCGCTTTTCTGTTTTTCAAAGCATGCACATATTTCGCCGTCATTTTGCTCTCGACGGCGCCTCAAGTCCACACGTGCTCTTCCGATGTGAATTGCAAACCCGATTCCAATGAAGTCTGTTCACTCTTTGCCTGCCTTCTATCTCATTCTCATCTCTCCCTTCCGCTGCAATCTATCCCCCCCCTCAAAATCGCACCCCTTTGATTGTCAAGAAATTGCTTTTCTCTTAGGTCAGCTCTGCAATGCTTTTTTTTTTTTTGTTGTAATCATTACCCTTGTGGTCAGACACGTTTTTGTCCTCGAATAGTGTTGTTCCAGTTGCCACTAGGAGTGTCATGATAGACCGAATGTGATGAGGTGACTATCTGCATGTGTTGCATCAGCTGCGGCAGGTGTCTCAGGCCAAGCGCTGGGATGATGCGGGGACAGGAAGACATACGATCAGACAATCCAGAGTTGCGGAGTCTCTGGAATTCCCGGATTCGGAGGATGTGGGCGTCCACCTGGGAATAGTAAGTGTACCAAAGATTGATTGCGGTGACAAAAGCCAATCTTTGAATTCTAAGGGTGTCTACCAGTTGATTTGTGATCACTTGTGGGATCTTCCGCCCATTGTCTGCATGTTCTTGCTCCAATTTACAATAAATGTTTTATGGATATCACTTCTTTTATGGGAGGGGGGTACGGCGGGGGGGTTGTTTTTGAATAGCTGCATCACAGCAAGAATATTGCTTTAAATTGAGCTTCTCCTTTTGCTTAAATGTGTTCTCTGCACGCTTGTGTACATGAAAGGCTCTCAATTGTGCGTTGTGTGTTCAGATTTGACTCAAAACTATTTTTGAACTGTCAAAAGGACACCATGGCTATAAAGAAACGGAGCTCCAGAACCAGAAGAATCCGTCCCGTCTCCACCAGACCAAGTGAGTCTTTTTGCCAACGGCCTGGTTTGGATGATTATTGATGTGGCACGAGGCAAAAGATGGTAGTACTTAAGTGATTGATTTATTACAAATGAAGTAGCAAAACAATGCATTCGAACGTGGTTACAACGTACCTCGAGGGACATAACGAATCTGTACGTTCTAACGGTAGTTCGCCGTCACCCTTTCTGATAAAATGGCCGCCAACGACAATGTATCATCCAGTATGAACATTTACAGATGTAATAACATGAACATGTAATACAGTGTAAACATGTCAATTACAAATACGTGTCGATGAAGAAAAAATGGTTTTATAAGACATGAAACAAACCACTTGGGACTTTGAAATGTAAAGACCTTGATGAAGTGCGTGACAACAGTCACTTTGATGCAACTTGGCTCTGTTGTAGGTCTGGCAGATGAGCCCAGCGCCTCCCCCACGCCCTCTGCTCCTCCCCCCTCCGCCCAATTTTCCCACTCGGCATCCTGGGAGTGCCTGTCCACCCTTCCCACCAACGGCTCGCCTTTGCGCCATGTGACCCACGTAAGGCCCCGCCCTCCACAGAGACACAGAGCAGTTCACCTTCCCCCAGAATCTGTGAGTTCATGGCAAATGACCTTGAAAACCTTTTGGGGGCCTTCATTGAGCTGGAGACAGTTTTGCCTTGAGCTTCTTGCAGAATTTCTGAAGGGGAATCATCATCATCATCATCATCACCATCACCACCAGTTGTACTGTGTGGGTGTCAAATGATGGTCTTATTCTGATCATTGGCAGAGCTGGGTTGCATGAGGAAGCGTGACACAGTCAACCAAAGCTAACTCGTTTATGAAAATGTGAACGATGGAAGAGAGGACATACCGTTGCTCTCTCCATTCTTTCGGAAAAACTGTTGGATGATGTCAAGTCGAGCGCATCGCACCATTCACCGCTTTCCTCTTCTACCAAGCTAAGAAGGGAGATTCAATTTGGTCATGGGGGTGAGACAAGAGAAAAATTGCATTTTAGGGGGGGACTCCAGACTTATTTTCAAGCCTTCTTTTCTCTTCATTTTTATTTTTTCAGATTTGAATATGTTGTTCAGACATTTGTTTGCTTCGTGATGAATTGCCATTCATTTAACTCTGGATGCCAGCGGCACTTTCTGAGAATAAGCGTCTTTTGAATATCGGAAGCCGTTTCCTGCATCTTTGTGCAAGAAATAGCGCTCATGCGCGGTTGTCTCCTGGAGGCCAACGGGCAGCTTCTAACTTTTCAACGCTGGAGATTTGACCCACATAACTTCAGATTTTGTGTGGCTTTCCCGATTCAACCCTGTTTAGAAAAGCGGATTGGATCAGATAATGATTTAGTTCTTTATGCTAGTGGCGGCCTTTGAGCTGTCATAGGTTGGCTATTTGATATTTTGTTCTTGTTTCTTTTGCTTGTAGCATTACTTTGAGAACGGAGGAGTCAGTACGCTGGAGGATGGACTGCCAGACTTCTACAGCAAGAGGGTTCTTCCTGACAGGCAGTACCATTTTTTTTTTCTTTCTAAATGTATTCGAATATCTCATCACCTTGGTGGCCAACACCTCAGTGGCACTTGCTGACAACACCTAGTCATAACGTGAAGCATAAATCCTTTGTCATTACAGCCTGCTCTTCGGTATACGTCATCCGAACAGCTGCAAATGTCAGTCATTTGGATCAAATTACCTGACAAATGGCCTCATTGGTTTTCTAAATTATTCTTCCGGTTGCAACTTTTCACTCCTATATATGCACAGCAGGAATGTAAAACTGAAGTTGTTTTTCTGAAACTTGCTGTGATGCTTTAACTAGCTCTGTGATTTAAACAGCAATATTTGCCACCGCAACCTGTCAGTGGCATCTTAAAACTCATTTCAAGGCACACTGACTTCGCTGGAATGATGAAAACAATATTTAGAAAACATCATGGGCCTTAGAATCGACGTTACACTTTACACAGACATATCTGGTTTAATGAAAATAATTTTTGCCGTCAGTAAGATAGTATTAGTAGTATAATAATAAAAAAATAACTAGTTTTTAAGGTATATGTGTGGATACCATGCATGAGGAGATGTAGTGACACGTCAAGACAATAGTCAAAGTTTTTTTTATTATTATTATAATAAGCCAGTGGAGTGAGCATTTGATAACATGACTGATTACGTTCTCTAAAAGGTTCAAAACCCAAAATAGAAAAGGATTAGTGACTCAGATGTGCAGTTCAATAGTGGACAGTCTACTGGCAACAACTTCAAGGCTGCATGAGCGTGTTTTCATGTCAGTTGTGCAAAAAAAAAAAAAAAGATTGAGGCAGAATAAATGTTGCCATCTGTTAGGCCCAACCAGATGAAAACGCAGACGGAAATAGTTCAGTAATATACTGACCCAAACAAGTGAGCTTTCGTGTTCGCCACTGATTGTCACGGATTTAGATATGAAAATAACAGAGTACTTTTTTTTAAAAATTAAAAAATAAAAACATGTGAGAGAAATGTACAGGCCAAACCAATTATTAAACCATATAATAGGCTGGCTGGGGAAAAAAAAAGAAAATGAAAGTAACGGAATGAAGCAAAATGTGTTTTAAGGTGATTGGTCTGTGAGCCCTCACATGTTGTTTTCGACATGACTATTTAGCTTCGTCACGATGGGAACAGAAAACAATGTAATGACTCCGCAGTAGCTCGATTTCTCACTGGCAGAAAAGTTTCAGTTGAGGCTCTCATTCACGCTCCGTTGAAAAGGCAAGAAGATGAAGGATGGCAGAATAATGCTGGACTGTACCGTCTAAATTTGGCAGCGGGACTGCGATCGTGCTCTAATGTACTCAAGAAAACTGTTTGGAGGAGTCAATAGCGACTGCAATGCTTCAAGAAGCGACGACCTTGGCGATCCTCAACCAACGTGCCACCGGCGGCACATCCGTGTTCCGTGAACGCCACTGCACGGATCTGTGTTTGAGGTTTCAAATGAGCGAGGAAACACATCCGAAATGACCCTTGTGTGTTTTTCTCTCCCCTTCAGTCAGTTGTCGTCCATCCATCAGGCTCAGTCACTGAGGAGGAAAAAAAGACGCAGCGTGTTGTCCATTTTCTCCGGTTTCCGCAAGAACCGCAACTCCACCATATCAAACCAGGAGTTAGAGTGAGTGATGCAAAAAATGCTCTTCAAAACTTCCCTGTGTCAATTTGATAGCGCAATGGGCGGTTAAGTTGCATCATGGTAATGGTCAAAAAGAAGGCGCACGTGGGACACACTGCTTCAACGGCGGCGGGGGGGGGGGTCGGAGCGCCGCCTTGACCGGGTCGGGGAGCCTTATTTTGAAGGTTTCCCGACCCGCTCAGCTGTTTTTAAGACTCGTCACAAGAAAGCGGCGACAGCTCAGACGAAGGCCGAAGTGACAGCTCGGTCAGCGTTTTTCTCTTTACCAAAAAAAGACCATTGTCTGGAGAAAGGTTGCGATAGAGATACGAATAATTGAGACATGCTCAGCTTTCTTCTTTGTCGGCCTGTTTGGTGCAGTACTTTCCACCCAGTAAAGTACTCAATTTCGTGTCGCTCTTCTTCCTGTCTGTTCCGACAGCCTGTCAGAGAATGTGTACTCGATGATTCAGCATCCAAAGGACGTCGGGAGGGCAGATCATTCCGCGCTTGGGGCAAACGGGACCGTGCCCTCACCTCGGGTCGGACAAGGCGTCCCTGTGCAAGGCTTGAGGCCCGCCAGCCCCTCTTGCCTTATTCAGAGACAGGTACAGTCTCAGCAATTTACAATCGAGCGCGCTCTAATAACAGTTTGTTTTCTTTTACTAATCGCCAATATTCTGTTGTTGAGCCAAATATACTTGCGTACTCCTCTCTTTATGAAATACTCTTACTCTTCCCGACAAGATTGCTACGTTCATTACAAGTCCGAATTTTTGATTCATTTATTTTTTTTAGTATCCTCAAAATTGTCACTGGACTCTTGATGTGGTATGCCAGCACAGTCGAATGTGGTCCCGGACACGAGCGGCCCACAGACTTCGACACCACTCCAAACCCTCCGTCAAATGAACAAATAGTGTATCTTGTCACGGTCATACCTTTCGGACCCGCTCGCATATTTTACGTCGGATCTCAATTGGTGCAAGTTATTGACAATGATGTGGGCGGTAAGTATATAAATGGCCAAAATGTCGACTGTGCAGCGAGTTGTCATCATCGTTTTACATCACGGCCCAATAGCCTCGCCCTACGAAAATGTGGAGCTGAATCTTAGATGTGCAGTCGATAAGAAAAGTCAACCGCTGTTCAAATGTCTGGCTTTTTTTTGGAGGGCTATGAAAAAGAAGAACCTTTTCCACCCTAATTGTGACTTCCTCCCCGTGATTTCATTGAAAAAAAAAAAAAGTTCTTGTAGTATGCCATTGCATTTTTTCATAGTCCCATCCGACAGCGCAAGGGCATGCATGGCCTACAGACAGCTTCCACGGAATCAGAAGGATTGGATTGTTCAAAGGTATCAGTCAGGAGAGGGGCACGAAAGAATTTCCAAGGCATTAAAGGTCCCAAGCCACACTTTTTTCATCTTTTATGTCCTTTTATCGGGTTTGCAAGATAATTTGACTGAGAAATGCCAGCTGCCTTTTTCAAGCTTTGGTCAAACTTTGGCTGACTTTTCGTCTTACTTTGAAGATGGAAAATGACTGTGAGACTCATAGGGATTTTTCATGATAGTTTGTATTTCATTTTGTCTCCATTTTTTTTTTTCCAAAGTTTAATTTCAGTGATATTTGTTTTTGTTGACTCGAATAACTTCAGCACACACTCTGATCTGCTGTCTATTTCTTGTCCTTGGTTAGTCCACAGACCTGGTCAGCATGGTGTACAGCTGCATTGGGGCCGACATTGAAGAATTGGACAACTGTGACACCAAAGCAACGCAGGAAAGCATCTCGGAGGCCGACAGCAACCACACGAACGGACATGAGGCGTCCTCCAAGCAGCAGGCGCACAGGCAGGAGAGGGTCGTACCTTTGACCGGCCCGCAGACTGACTCGGACGAGGATGCTCCACGTAGCCGCAGAGGTGCGAGCGGCGCTGCTGGCAGCCTGAGGCCTGAGCCGCCGCCTCAGAGCACCAAGCCCAGTCTTGCTGCCATGCGGCAGAGACACCTTCAGGAGAGTCTAGGTACTGCAGTTGCCGCTTCGCGAAATATGATCCGTCGTCTGTCTGCTGTCTCTCTGATAGTTGACACCAATATGCTGATGTCGAGTGTTAATATTCGAAAGAAGGATTACAATTATTTTTGTAAAAAAACTTCTGAGCAAACAAATAGATCTCCTCTGTAGGATGGTGTCCATCAGGTAGACGTCAAGGATTTGAGGCGATCAAATATTGAAAAAGTCAAGCGAGCATTATTTGTGTTTATATATTTGGGAGGCCCCGACTATATCTACACACTCTCACCTGCGTATTAGAAGTTCTTTCTTGTTCTTCCGTGGCCTGGTTTCTTCACATGGCAAACCGCAGTTTTCGACTTTGAAAAAGACACGGTGACAATGGTTTTGTTTTCCAGCGGAGGCAGGACGGTTGGAAGCACGAGAAGAGCAGACTGAAAGAAAACGTGAGGAAAAAGAGAGGACGCGGGGACCCGAGGGGCAGCGTCCGCTGATCCCCGTCAAGGTCTGTGTTGACAAAGAAAAGCGTGAATCGGTCTTCCTTTTGCTCTGAACAATGTCACTTCACCAAACACGTCATCCCACGTTCAGCCCAGTCTTGACCTGGCACGAGACAAAACCTCTCCGGAAACCGCCAAGATCTCTCCCAAAATCTCACCCGTCAGTCGACAAGGAGCTGATGCCCAGAGGAGTGCGCCTCTTGCGGCGTCTGTCAGTTACGAGGAAGTCACCAGCAGAGAATGGAGAAGCCCGCCGGCACCTGCCGAGCCTCAAATGGGTTCCGC